CTCCGTGCTCTTTTCCACCAGCCTGAGCGCTGTCATCCGATTAAAGTCACACAGTCACCCCTACAGAGAGCAGAATCTTCAACAAAAATGCCATTGATTGCATCCTGCAGCACCTCATTCACGGTAACGCAGCAGCGGGGACATGTGTGTGTGTGTGTGTGTTAATTTTGCCGTGGTCTAGTTTTCCAGTCTTGGGCATCGTGTGCTGGCCCTGTCGGTTTTGCTATGCTGCGCTGTCTTCCTGTCCTTTTCCATCGGCTTTGATGCTCATGTCATCCCTGCTGGCTTGCCACAGCAGCTCTTCTTCTGGTCAATTTTGATCTAGAGGCATGACACTCCTGCTACAAACTGGGGGTACAGGGCGGGGGTCCAAGCCATACTGTGCGATTCGTATGACGTCGTGTTGCAGCTCACCGTCTTATGAAATGGCCCCTTGCATACACTGCCTACCCATATACACACATAAGTCTATAGATGGATACCAGTAGATAAATAGACAGAGCCGCGTGCGTAATGCTGTCTTAAACTCTGGGTTCGATGACAGCCAATTATCGTGGAGTGTTCAACATTCCCATGAACAACTCAGCTATATGACCAGTGTTCCTTGCAATCATCCACATCTGTGAACAACGATTTGTCACTGCCTGAATGCCCGCCCCTCTTGCATGATGCGGTTCTTGATAGCATGTGCTGCGCGAGTAGCTGTTCCCCCTCGCCCTTCCGCCTAAAGAACAACAAAACAGAACAACACAAAGACTAAGCCCAAACCAAACCCTAAACCTTAAAGCCTGAGAAAACCAAAAGCAACAACACAAAGACTAAACCCAAACCAAACCCTAAACCCTGAGAAAACACAAAATGACAAAACAACAAAACCGAGACCAGGCCTGGTTTCCCCAGAAGATGAAGAAGGAATCAACAGCCAGGCCGGAAAGCTGGTACACCTGTACACAGCCAAGTGAAAGAGCTCTTATATTCCTTATACATATAATATATCTGTAATAAAGTTTTAATATAACATCTCTAAATGTATGTATGTGTATATATATATATATATATATGTACACGTGTGAGTGTGTGTATGTATATACACATATATTTCAGGCGAAAGAGCTCTCCAGGCGGCACAGCCTACCACCACCATGTGAGCAGTATCTGCGGCGATAAGGGCCACGAATAGTAGCACCGCATCGTAGAAAAAGAGCAATAACAACAGTAATATTGAGGGTAATGTTGCTGATGATGATAACTATAGCACTAGGTAACGATAACAATGGCACGCATGATGATAGAAACGCCACTGCTCTGCCGGTAACCTGCCATTGGCGACACCTCCAGTCATGACTGCCTGATACTACTTGGCTTACTGAATCCACGCTCGCAGGAGGGGCGGATGCCTTGGAATCTGGTTGTCCTGTGTTTTGGGTGGTGTAGACCTCTGCTGGGTTGAAGGAGTCTCCAGTGACGACCTGGCTGCTAGCTTTGCAGTTCACTTCTGCTGAATCGGAGTTGGGGACCTGCTCGTTGTCAAGCCGCCAAACTGAATCGACAGTGCTGTTCTCCCCGTCCTGAGACTCAGCAGATCAATGAGAAGTGGAAGCATGAAGTGCTTGCAGACGTCTTCCAGCACACCTTCGGAAGAGGATGCCCACTGAAGTAAAGGTCACCGGCACCGTTGACAGCCAACCAATGCCTCAGCATTCTGGCAGTACTTGGTATCTCCAAACTCTGTCGTGAGCCCGCAGGTTCCCCATGCCTACAGCTTAGGCAGGCTCGCGCTGAAGCCTTCAACAGCTGCGCGTTGTCGTCCGACTGTTTGCAGCAACCCATTGCTCCTGGTCATCCAGATTATTCGGGCCTCTAACGAGCGAAGGCGTTGGAATTCCCAAATTCCCAATGTGACAGTCCCCGTGCCCAGCTGATACCACCAAATCACACCGCGGGGTGGATCCTCAGCTGAGACTTCCAAGATTCAGACATCCTGGGCAGACCGGGCCAAAGATCGTCTGGTGCTTTGTAGGGTATGGGGGACCAGACAGAACCGGACCAAGGGCCCCACAGCCACATACAATCTGGAGGATAAAGGATCAACTGCAATGGAAGTGGGACTCTGCACCTCGCCTGCACCAAAGCGAGATGCACTGCAGTACAACTGACACGTTCTGGCTCCAGAAAGCTGCGCCTAGCACTAACGGTCGCCAAACCGTGTCCGGAAGGATTGTGTAGCCCACTTGTTTCAGCGCCGGAAAGGACGAGATGAGGTATTTCCTGCAGAACGGGGCCACGGGCCTTGCTTGATGGGCTTTGAACATCTGGAGTGGGCTCCTGCCCGCTTTGAGGGCATCCGGCGAAACCGTGTCTATCCTCGAGCTGCCATCCTTGGCCTTCGGAACCTGGGGCCGTCAGCACAGGAACCGCGTCTGCCCTCGTCGAGAGCTTAAGAGGTCTTTGAGGCACCGGCGAGGCACAAAGATCTACCAAACAAGCCCATGAGGAGCAGCAGCTTCGAGACTGCCTTAGAAGGATCCCCGTCGCGATTTTAGTGAAGCCCAGAAAGTTGGAACACTATTCATGCTGGGATTTCCTATATATATACTGTACTCTAACTATGGGCGTGAGGCTTTTGATGTTCCAGCTTTCTGGCTTCTACTTTCTACTGTCTGGGAGCTTTCAACACTGGGGCAGCGGCCATGATTATGAAGGATTCTCCGCACTCTTCCGCTATCTGGGCGAATCTCAGAAGCAACAAGCTGGTTCCCCGCCCCTCGATTTCAAAGGTCTCGCATTTTGAGCTGCGACAGCTTGTCTTCAATGTGTGAATCCTGGCCTGATCGGTCTCGAGGTGGTAGAGGGAAGGGCACCCCCCAATAACGAGCCAGGTGGCTGGGCAGGTTTCTGAGCTGTCGTGCCATGCCAAGCGAGGCTGCTGCAGTGGCGTTCGACATGCGACGATGAGCTTCGATTTTAATCATTTGGCGGGTGCTCGCATACGTCATCGCGTAGCAGCTCACTCGAGAAGGATGGGCAGGTCCCCGTCCAGCTGCAGCGATTCCACAGCTGCCTGGAGAACTAGAACGTGAGCTGGCCCTGACGAATGTCTCCTGGAAGCCTCCTCCTCAGTGGGCGGGTTCTCTCGACCTGGGGCCCGACCGAAACCCAAGTATGTGCAGGCAAAAAAACATTCCGGGCACGCGGCTCAGCATTGTAGCCACCCATGATGCATCCCTTCTCTGCCTCGGTAGTGATGGGCTAAGCTGAAAGGGATGTGACAGGGAGATGAGGAAGGCAATCTGCGGCCAGCGAAGGGCACCGGGCACCGGGCTTGGATTCCTGAACCATCGCCGAGAAGTCGCCTGATCAGGTTCTCACTGGGCCTTCTGTTCTGGTCTCGCAGGCTCCGTGCTGAGCAGTTGTCAAAATTAGAGTCCCTTTTTGGGTACCCTAAATATTATAGGTGCCGTATTATATTAAGGACCCAAAAAGGGACCCTAATTTTGACAACCACCCTGCTGGGTCCCGGGCGGCGGCAGAGTGGGCACACGGTGCGCTTCTGAAGCCACGGAAGGATGCAGTCCTAGCTCTTCGTTCAGCAGAGGATGGTCGCAACTTGCACAAAGGCCATGCAGCTTCTTACCTTTGGTTAGTAGAGAATGGAAGTAATAATAGTAGTTACAATTGTACCCCATTCCTCCATCCCCTACTAACCAAAGGTAAGCGAAGGCCATGCAGCTTTGCCGGGGTGCCGGCGTCATGGAAGGTGTGACCACACGGCAGGTGGCGGATCTTGTCATGTGCACAAGCAATGGCGGTGCAGAGTCAGAGGCTTAACACTAACACTGACACCGACGGCCGCTGTGTCCACATCATTCCCGCACATTCCAAGTCGTAGGAACCTGATTAAGAAACCTTGGGCCCTTATTAGGGTCCCTTTTATGACTCCTAATATTTTGAGGTTATATGGGCCCAGGGTTTCTTAATCAGATTCCTACCCTAAGGCCCCAAAGTAGTTCCTTTTTGGGTTCATATATGGTTCATATATAGAATCCTATAAGGTAATCCCAAAAAGGAACTACTTTAGGGCCTATGGGTATATTATTGCAAACACTTCTGTGCCTTCCGCCCCCTGCGCAGCAGCTTGCCATGGCATACCTGGCCAAGTTGGTCCCTCCATGGCACCACATTGGGAGTTTCCGAACATAGGGGACCCTTTAAGGGTTCCTTTAAGGGATCTATAAGGGTTCTATACAGGGTTTAGGGTTTAGGACTTTGGGAGTTTCCGAAAATAGGGCTGAATGGTAGGATCCTTATTATAAGGACCCCAAATAAGGTACCCCCCTAATTTTCGGAAACTCCCATAAACTCGAGGGCTCGAAGCGAAGGGTTCGTGCCGGCGTTGCCGCGCAACGCTCCCCTTTGGGGATATCATGTCGAGTCGGCGCTTCGGCCGCAGGTAGAGCCTCGCGCTGCTCTCTGATCCGTCAAAGTCTTCTGCTGGAATCGACAGAGGCGCCGACCGCGACTACAGCCTCAAAGAGTGGGGAGACCCTGTCATGGGCTGGAGATATTCAACAACACTTGCCGATAAAGGCTTACAGCAACTCGCAGTTTCGGATGATGGTGAAGTCGGCAGCCTGCATCCTTCGGTCGGCCTCAGAATGCAAAACATGCAGCGACATCTCGGGGTGCCATGTTACGAGTCTCACACCTGGGCCGGTCTTGCCGTGTAGCCTGAGGCACAATTTTGCTCTTGGCTGAAGGTCTGCAGAGAGTGACTCAGACTAGAGGGAGCACCTGGCGTCGGCGAGGCGGACCAGAAACCGCCTGCACCGCAAGCGTCTCTCAAGATCGACTCAGCCCGACATCTTAGAGCTTCATGGCTCATTGGCAGCATTGCCTCATCAGCTGCATCACGAACTGCACGTCGCACTGTGCGCAGTGCTGCCTGTTGCATGGACGACAATTACGAATGAACCGCGCGTGTAAGGATGCCAGTCATTCTGCTAGACATCGCTTAAGCGGCCGACAGACACGGCCATTTGCCTCGCAGCGGCCAGTGACCTGTGACTGTGACAGTCTCGGCGTGGCTCTGTGCTACGGCGGAGATGGCAACCACTGCCTCGCATTCGGCAGGCGGGGTGCTCGGACCACATGGGCGGCATTCTCCTTCATACTCCGGCGTGGTGCCAAGTCTGTCCCCGTTACATTCCTGCATATCCGCACTGCACTGCATCTGTGCTCCCCAAGCCTGCCGCTCCAGTGATCTAAGAACGCCTGCGCCGAAAAGCCAGCAGACCCAACTTCTGAAGGCCCAGAATCGCCACAAGCAAGCATCAGTGCCCCTGCAGCCTTGCGTACCGGGACCCTGCCTCAGCAGCGCAAGCATGCTGTCGGCTGTCCCTCGAGAAGAGCTGCACACAGCCTTATCGAGGGTGCTTAGAGCCTGGCATGGGATCGGTCTTGCTCCTGGACCCCGTCGGCAGCGCCTCTTTTCTTGAAAATCGTGGCACATCTTTGCAAAGATTTGAGCTGTTTGGCTCGCTTTGACAAAAGTCACAGCTGGGGCCGTTGCCTGGCCCAGTGGGCTCGTGGTCAGCAGCCCGGCAGATGCCAAGCATCGGATCTGTGCGTGAATCCGACCTCGTCTAGCCAGTGACCAAGACAAAGCCGACATACGGACGGAAGGCAAAGAGACTTCAGAAATACACCGCAAACCTCTTTTTTGAACCCGCACCCCTTTTGCATCCAGGCCTCCTGTGGTGTTGCCGGGTTATCAGCGCACTAACACCTAAACCCTAAACTTCAGAAGCTTCAGGTGCCGGCATGGCTCTAGCAGCCAGGGTCGACGAAACTCAATCCTCAGCGGGGTCGCTTATTTATGCCACAGTTTCGCAGCATAGTATCATCATACTCTAGCGAAGCCGTGTATGGCATGTGTGTGTGTGTGTCATATTTCGGGTAGTATAGCGAAGATTATGTTCTAAGTACATGTACATATAAAAGCAGCTGTATGTATGCATGTATGTATGTATATACATAGAACTGTATATATATATATATATATATATATATACAGACAAATACATAATATATGAGTATGGGCCCCGTCTGGGTTACGCACACAGCTGCCTCTGGTCCTGCGGTGGCCAGCGGATGCCGGCACTCCGTGCAAAGCGCTCCGGGGAACTCTTTGGCAGACCGAACCTCGCCGTCTTCTGCACAAGGGTATTATGAGGTTGCGGCTCTATTCTAACGTACTATGAGGGTACGACTCTAGAATACCACTCGAGGGTACTATTACTATGATGGAGTACGATGATACGGATAGCAGAGAAGATGGATGCCATGGTCATAGCTTGAGGGTCTGGCACGAGACTGCATGATCTCCGAGGGGCCTCCGAAGAGATCCGCCTCAACGGCCTCAGCACAAGGCTGCATTTCCAGCTGGTCTCATATTTAGAAACCTAGAAGTAATCGGTGGCACCTTACGACAGTATCCGATAGTGGTACCCTGTAGTACTCGGCCTCACTTGTGTCGCTTTGGCCACGCTCTCGACCCATCCTCGGATCTACTCAGGCCAGTCGAAGAATGTCTCTGAAGCGCTCTGACCCGCCGCACCTCTCGGCCGGTCTTGCCGCTACAGCTTTTGCAGCAGCTGCCCTGGAGCGACGACACTTGGCCGAAGATGCGGTCTGGCTGGTGAGGAGGCCTCTGAGCTGCTTTCTGTTTGCTTCGCTTCTTCTCCTGCCGCTGAAAACCATGGATATCTGTTATATAAATGAAAAAAACAAATACGTAAACAGTTAGCACATAATAAGAACAAGTAAACACAGTAATTTATGACGAGTAGAGTGCACTTCTCGGCGGGGCCTTCTTCTTCTTTCGCTTATGGCCTCGGCTTATCTCCAGGCATGGACGGAACAGGATCCGGAACCCCGGCAAACTGGAAGCGAAAGGGTTCAGATGCAATCGATGTTTTGCTTCAGTCGTCTATGGAGATAGGCACGTCGGCAGCAGCCTCGGTGTCAAGTCAACAGGTATCAGAGATCTTCTTGTGTCTCCCGTTCACAAGTCTCGAGAAAGAGCTGTCCGAATGCATCAAGTCACCGGCACTTCCTCCACTTCGTCATCGCTAACTGTCAGCTTTGCCGCTGTCTGAGCTGTTTGCTCTTTACGCTGCCTCCGCGCCAGTCTGCGCGCTGCACCTCAATGGCGCAGCTCAACATCCCTGCAAATCTACCTGAAGCATCGCATGGAGAAGCAACAAGTAAGAGAACCCATAGACATACTAATTACAATTATAAATATTCTGCAGCCGTGGCCTTCAGCTTGTGCCTTAGCTCTCGCGTCAGCCTTTCGCTTTCTCCTCTCTTCGCCAGGATCCATGACACTGGCGCCGTTGACGCTTGGCTCCGTTGCAACCTGCAGGAAGTCGAGGCCGAAAAGCAAGGCACATGCAAGGCTCTTGAGTCGAAGTTAGCTCAGTAGCGGATGAAATTTCAGCTGCATGACTATATACCATACCACTCACTAACCCGACATTTCACGTAAGCACTTGTATATACTTGTACTCTTCAAGTGCCTTACATCTCACAAGCCGGAGCCTGCCTGATCGGACGCCTCGTCCTTCTGCGCCAGATCCTGAGCCTTCTGAGGACTCGGCTTTGCTGGCGAGGGAGGCGCCGCTGGCGTTGGGGCTGTCACCTGGATTCTGTTTAAGGGATTACAATTAGGAAACCATGTTATCTACTATAGACCCCTACTATGGTAACTTAAACGAAATTCCTTGTTATTTGCTATAGATCCCTAAAATTATGGTAACTTAAATTAGCTTCTTTTAACAAGAGCCCAGTCACTGGCTCGCCAGGCTGCGCGTCGGGCGATGTGGCTGGCAGAGGCTCCTGGGGAGGTTGTGCTTCCTGGGCCTCTTGGGCATCCAGCTCTGCCTGGGCTCTTGCTAAGGAATTTAAGTGACCATAATAAGGATCTAATAAAAGGTTCCTTTAGAGGATCTAGAAGGGTTCCTTAAGGGTTTAGGGTCTCCCAACTCTGACAAGCTAGACGAGGAGGGTTTAAGTTACCATAGTAGGGACCTATAGTAAACAATCTGGTTTCCTTACTATGGTAACTTAATTTAAGCCCCTTAACAAGAACCGAGCTGCCTGCATTTCCTCCATCTGAGCAAACATCTCTTCTTCACTGAGGGTCACGGGCGCAGGCGCTCGAGGAATTGAGCCAGGCGGGGGTGGTGGACGGCGAACATCACAAATGGTATTGGAATTCTCCACCTTCCGACTCCAACCACTCCCCTCGTGCATCTTGGGAACTTGCCGGCCACCACTGAGCACCCAATTCCTCTTGTCGGCCGTCTCCCCGAGCACATCCCTGACTTCTCCGGCAGTGCAGCCATACCGGTTGTGATTGATGACGACCTTTTCGGGCTGATTGTCTGGTTTCGCTTTCGTCCTCTCCTTTGGGGTTATAAAGGTCTTCTGAGCCTTCTTCACCGGCCAGCAGATGTCATCCTCGCTGAACCAGTGGCGCTGCTCCCCCACACCTGCTAGTCTGTATGGGAAGGCCCCACCATCATCTTTGAAGATGCGGAATACCTTACCGATGGCTTCCGGCAAATACCGCTTCATGATCATGGTGTCCCGGATCTGCACCCTGTCCCCGATTGTCGGTCTTCGATTGGGTACCACGGCCTCCTCCTCCTCGTCCTCTTGGGTGGCCTCCGCTTTCTTGGGCTTGGGCTCGCGGGGATCCTTCATGGCTTTCCGACAGAGCGCGACCAGATAGTGCTTGCTCGGATCGCCCTTTGGTACGTCGTGTCCGGCCTGCTCAGGGATGACAACGGACCAGACTGAGACGGCTGAAGCCGGGAGGGTGGGGACTGTCCTGCTCGATCCTGTCCCGCAACTGCTTCTCTGTGAGGAGGTGCAGCTCGACTATCTGAAGCCAAGAATGCTCACGCCACTGGCTTATGATACAAACACTCACCATAGCTGGTGGTAGGATACCCTCAGCATTAAAAAACGGCAGTGTCAGGCAGCTACCCAAGCCACCTGCTTCTCCTCATCTGGGCACTGGATGTTGTTGAAGTCCAGAGGTTTAGGCTCAGGCTTGGGCACGCCCTTCTCCTCTTCGACCCTCTTCTGGTCGGCCTGCTATCAAAGCAAAATGACTCGAACTTCCCTGGAGGGCCCATGTCAGCACTTCTGCTCGACCCCTGTCTCAGTGCACAAATTTCTGGGTGCTTGTTTAGAACTTTAATTTAAGTTACGATCGGTTCTGGTGGTCTTAACACACTTCTGTCTACCCCCTATATCGGATTGCTTCCTACCGGACAAGATCCGAAACCATACATCTTAGAAGGTTTTGTCAAAGTAGTGAATCGAGAAACGGTTACAAAAAACCGACGTCTAGGGCTTTGCGGCCTTGCAGAGTGTGCTTGCTTTCGAAGAAATAGCAACACATCACAACCTAAAGCAAAGACAAACGCGTACTTTGTCGAACATGCGCTTTGTACCTAACCGGCATTTACCGAGCCCCAACGAGCACCTGAAACCAGGTGCCGAAATAAGTAAAACGAAAGGTCCAGGTCGCAATCCGACCATCCCTGCCACACGTGCTCACATCCTGGCGAAAGTCACTGCATGCTGCACGGAGGTCCTCTGCAGACTTTTCAGCCTTCTCGGCTTCGGCTTTCTTGACGACACTGATGATATCCGCCTGCACTGCACTTGGAGTGCATGCGCTCATCCCGGTTGTATGAATGTCTGCAGTCTACTTTCTCAAGCGGAACCTTGCGTCTCTTTCGCCTTTGGATTAGCATGTGTACTCACTTGACTGCAGTCTAACGTTGTCCAAAACTGTACATCGTCGCCTTGAACTTGCAGCGCTATGTTGGCCAGACGGACTGAACGACACAATGACTGCAGGAGAACCCTGCTTGCTCTGCAGGCACCTTTTCCAGGTGCCCATCAGGAAGCGATGCCCCGGCCCAGAAGAGCCTTTTCTTGAGGTCTGCCACCTTGCCGAATCAGGCAAAGTTCCATGCTCTACGCTGCATTGTGATGTGCGCAGGTCCACGACGATAGAACGTCCACAGCAAGCTGCTGATGTAACGAGACGGATCGTTCTGGTGGCCACAGCTCAAAAATGACGGCAAAAGAACAAGGGCAGCAGCTGGACTGAGGTTCTCACTGAAAGCTTCTCGAGGTCCGCTGCCAGAAGCGACATGGCGAAGACCGTCCGCAAGAATGCTTCTTCCAGCTCTCTGAAACTTTTTTAACTGGAAAGGGGTCTGACGGTACTTAGGTGAAAGGCTGTGGGGTGACTCAGGGCTCTTGTAACACCTGTGGAACCTCATCATTGTGACGTTCACCTGCCCTCAGCGGCCTGCATGTTTTCGACACTGACCAAGCTGAAGCAGTTGATGGCTTGCGGACGCTGCTGAGGTCGACACGCTTGCGAACCTTTGTCGCCTGTCCTGCTTGCTGGCTAAAAAGCAGCAAAGCGAATCCGGCTTTAAATGCTTGTGCAGAAGGTTCGGCAGCAAAGACAGGCATACAATATCTGAAAACGGGACAGAAGCCTTTGATCACGACCTGTGGCGATACCAGTTAGCAGCTGGCATGACAAACGCACTGCGAGCTGCTGACAAAGGGATCGAACATTGCAGTCACGAAGTCACTGCAGCCCATGCTGTCCTTGATCAGATGGTCCGGGAGCAGACTCGCCGGTGATGACAACATCTTCATCCTCGCCTCACTTTGCAGTGGACTTGACTTGGGACGTTGACTGGACCCCAAAACTATGTAGAAACATAGCCTCTTAAAGGGTTTAAGCTATCGGCAATTATTTTCACCTACTTGTCGGGGTTTAGGTGACTGCTCTTGCGGAGGCGTGGGGGGCACTCTGCCATGGCTCCGGCTGTCGACGACAACAATACCGTTCGCCAGCATGCCTTTCGTCGGGAGCTCTCCACAATGCTAAATCAGATAAACTGCGGCATCAAACGAATAACAGTCGTAAGCAGCAGAGCAGGAGCAGTAGTCAGTAGTGTGGTGGTAGATGTGGAAGTAGTACTGTAGCAGGAGCAGCAGAGACAACAGCTGCAGCAGTCCTCTTTTTGCTGTCATGTTGTTGTGGTTGGGTCAAACTAAAACGCTTGCCGCTTGTTTGCCCTGTCAATATGGGAGTTTCCGAAAATAGGGGACCCTAATATAGCACCCTAAATAGTAGGATCCTTACTGCAAGGACCCCAAAATACGGTACCCCGAATTTCGGAAACTCCCATATGCCTTGCCCCCTGTACCGTACGGTGCATGGTAGACCCTGCCAGCCTTCCGCAGTGAAGCCAGCAGCAACATAGCACTGAAGACACCAGAGCTACGGCATCCTTATAATGAGGAGCCCCCAAAATAGTATAGGTTGTTATGAAGTCCCTACATTATTCCCAGTCAAAGGTTACCTGCTCCATTACTACCCGAAGCTTGCTGGGTATGAGCTGCTGAAGGTCTGGACGTCCGTAACACTCCGCACACAGAAATCCCCAAGGCTTGGCCAAGGGAATCTTCATGTCGCCTTAATATTGGGGTTCCTTATTATGATTATAGTATAATGGGCCCCAAAACTCTACTGGTAATGGGGTTCCTTAGTATAATTATAGCATAATGGGCCCCAAAACCCCATTCTAACTATTTAGGCCCCTAGATTATAAAACCGTCGTAACTCCGTCTTGTCGTCTGGCTGTGCTGATTCGAGAAGACAAGACGATCGCGACGCCCTGCAATCATTGCAAACAAGTCATACCGCTGAACAACATCAGAGCAGGAAGTTCGCTGTCGGCAAGCATGTCTTACATCAGACAGCTCAAGCAGCTCACATGACGATCAGGCCCTCATAGCTCTGGTCACCGGCTACTCAGGTACGAAGCATTGGCTACAGTGGTTGGTATGGCCCAGTCAGCCATTGATGAACGATTCACGCAGCTCATTCGAAGAACGAGGCCGCGGGTCGCTTGTGCAAGGACGTCTCTGGCGATTTCTGGAGGGGGCTCTGGCTCACTGAGCGTGGTGTGTGAATGAGCTCGTCCATATCTACAAAGTGAAGTGTGGAAGCTGCCCAAACTCCTTGGTCTGCAACAGAAACGGCGAGGACCGCACGACAACAGAAAGATGCACTTGCCGCGCGAATCGATCCAAGAGTCGTTCTGGCAACTCAGCGTCTGAATCGCCCTGTATTATCAAGGCGAAGTCCAGCTGCAGGGAGCTAAGTCTGCTCCGCATTTGATGGAGCGACAGCCGGTTCACGTAGGAGCAAGAGCTGATATCCTTGTGGCGGGGCGCAGTTTGCTCCAACCGTTCCCAACAGGCTTGCTTACAGCACGGGTGCCAGCAAGCAGTTCGCAATGGCATTTACATGTAGCTTCATGTAGCCTGACTCACTGCCGACTAAGGAGCCACGTCGACTTCAATGTACCCAGCACCAGAGTAGATCTTTGCAGACTTGCCCAACAATGCTGGCTTCCCACTCAAGTTCTGCAAAACAGAGGGAAGCGAGGAATTTTTGGACTCCGCGATTTGGCACAGGGCCTTCAACTTATTCCTCATCATGTTGTCCTCTTGAGCAAGCTGGCAAAAGCGGCGCAGCAGTAGCAGCGCAGGCTCTTGGCTCTCGGTCAGCGCAGATTCGACTTCCGCCCGGACCGAGAAGCAAAAGATTGCGGAGCTGCATTTAGCATCGGCTCCTAGGGCGGACTTTAAGGCCTGAAGGATACTAAGATTATCGGCGGCAGGGCTTGTGAGGTCAAGGCATGGCAATGCGAAACCCGTCCTTGCAAGATGTTCGGGGCATCGTCTGGGATCTGCAGGTTGACGATGCAGAAGGTGGGAAGGTCCGATGAGATTGGCCCTTCGAGTCCAAGCATCTCGAGTCCAAGCCTTGCAACGTGGGAATGCCTGGACGAGCTGCTGGGGGCTGGCATCGTGAATGCTCGTCGCAGTTCGTACATGGAGTCTTGAGATGCTTCCTGGGTTGTGCTTTAAACCCTTTGAAAATTATTTATGAATAAGTTCCCTCTATAAGGAATTAAGGGAAACTAGAAATTATCCCAAAGCACAACCCAGCTTCTTTCTGCTTATGGGTGCTGTAGCCCTGAGAGCGCACGAGGATAGAATCCGCCTTCGCATCCTCAACACATCCCGCAGTGGAGCCGAGGGCCACAGGATGCAAGGACGTCACCAGGTCCACCTCGTCCTCCCTCCCTGCAGTTTCGGAAACTGGAGGCTGTGGGACATCAGCCCCTGCCCTCAAACACGTCAGCAGGTTCAGCACCATGACGAAGGGCCAGAAAGCAGAGGAATCTTGAAGGAGCAGAGTCAGTGCCACAACGCTGTTGCACAGCAGCAGGAGTAGAGCTCGCTGCTTGATCCATATGCCAACACATTGTGCGACCCAAACCAGCTTGTAGCGCTGCGACCTTGCTGTCTTTGATGCATCGTCCTGCGCAGATGGGCTCGTGCAGTGAAATGCATCAGCATTTCGCAAGCATGCAGCCCACGTCTGCGCATTCGCAGTCTTGAAGATCAGCCTCAACCTCGCCTGATCCGCGATTACATACTGGTTGTGACGCGCGACATTCTTCAAGGATGCCAAAACCACCTCACCCCCTTTGGCTTCCCCCAGCAGGGCGAACTCGCGGGGCTCGAAGCGTAGGAGCCTTCCGCGGCACATCACGAGGAATCGAAGCTTCGGCCCGCCAAGGGCAAAGCACTGCAGAGGGCTCCCAGCTTTCTCTTGAGATTCGAAAGCAAAGCCCATCAAGGGCACCCTGGAGTCGTCATACTCGATGCAGCTATCAACATCCAAGGGCTCCGGCGGCTCCACTAGCCTCAGTACTTCACGGTCTTCAGAGTTTAGGGTTTCAGCACTCAGAACTGGACAAGCAGGCGAGGATCCGAGTGCCAGAAAGATTCGGTTTAGGACCGAAAGGAAGGGGGCGGGTCAATGGAAATCCAGTGTGGCCAGGGCACTGCGAGTAGGAGGCATCGACCCAGCCATGAGACGTAAACATACCTTCCACGAATGTCGGCTTGTAGGTCTTCGCGGCCAGGAGTGCCTACAGGAGGTCTCGCTTCGCATTGCAAGAATTCGTACTCCTATGTCAGAAGCACTCGGCTGAGCAGGCTGCCTTCTTCCATGCTTCTACAACTTCCGAGCTTGCCCGGATCGTCAGGGCCGAATTTCCCAGCAAATCGTACAGGAGCAGGCGCTTGGTGTCTGGCTCATCATCGATAACGGACTCGATTTTCGAGACCTGTAGGGTTTAGGGTACGGTTTAGGGTTGGTTCCTAAACCCTCAACCTTCAAGTCTCTCCGATGCACGCAAGTCACGTCTGCAAGGCGCAAGTGTCCCCTCTCTTGGCCCAGAATCGCCCCGGGCCCTTCGTCGCGGAACCAATGCAGGCAACCGGTGTGGGCACCGAGCACCAAATAGCGTGGATTCCACTGACCTCCCAAGACTTTCTGCCTGGGCTACGCAAAGACTCACAGCTGGCCAGGGGTCATAATTTCATATAATATACCACAATATACTATAATATGATAGGATGTATAGTGTAACACAATATCTTGATATAGCATAATGCAGTATAATGTAATACACTGTAGTATAATAGAGTGTACTATCATAGTCATAGCTGACAGCAGGCGATGGGAGCCTCTGAACACGGGATGATCAGCCATGCTGCAACCCCCCGGGCATCTTCTGTACACTCGACGCTGCCCAGATCCAGCGGTTTGCAGCCAGCGCAGAAGCATCCAAGTCCTCGTTTTCAGCCATGACTTTAACAGGCTGGGCAGATGCCCCTGCAAGAAAAGACGCCTACACGTTCACCATCTGAAGCCGACATGCCGATAGCAGAACGCTGAAGGTGTCGCCTAATTTCAAGAACATAACATCGAGAGGCATAGAAACCCGCTGTAAAGCACTGCGCACAGAGCCTGAAAGAGTCCTGGAAGTTTTGAGTTGTTTGCGGCTTTGCTGCGTGAGACATGAGCTTCTGTGGCTCGTCTGCTTGCTTAGCATTTCAATCAGGGCTCTGCTGCTTGGCAGCATCTCCACCGGCCATCAATTCAGGGCAAATCGTGCGCTGTACCAAAAAATTGTGCCGTGCTTCAGGTGAACACGAAATCAACGAACTCATCATAGTCCACCTGCGCCGTCACGGTCATCGTACAACAACTGAGACTGATCCCTTAGACGCTGCACGGGGTGGAGCAAAGAAACAATACCTGTCCCAACAACATCACACAGCATTGGCCTCGCCGTCATCTGAGGCATCCTAAGGCGAGTTCCGGCTCCACAGCTGACGGCAGGCAGGTTCGCACATCGGACATGCTCTCATGCTGATCACATAATACAAGAGTCTCAGTAATTTCAATATGGTGGTAGGTTATTCTTGCTCATGTTTCAGATCCCTATATCAGATCGATTCGCAAAGGCTTCTAAGGCGAGGTCGATGGTATCAACCAGAGCTTTCAGCTGCTTCGGCGTCATGGAGTCGCAGGACTTTTCAAGAATTCTGATCAGGTCCTTGTTCTTCACCTCAGAAAGAACGAAAGGCCCAAAAGTCACTACGGCTCTGAAGCACCCTATACCCCTCCACCCCCAACCCCTAAACCTTCTGAGCTTGTGGCTAAGCCATCACCGTTCTTGTCCCAGAGGCGAAAAGTCGCTTTCACCAGGTCGGCCTGCCGGGGACTGACTAAGGATGCAAGACCGCCATGGCTGATCTTGACTGTGCACAGTTCTGCGTACATACATAATATAATATAGACACATAGATTCAAAAAAAAAAATATATATATATATGTGTGTGTGTATATATATATATATGTGTGTATATGTATATGCATACATGTGTCTGTGTGTATATGTCTATATCTAATTACATACTATGTATATGTGCGTGTGCGTGTGTGTTCGGCCGTTTCAAGTGAAGAAGCCAACAAGAACAACAGCAGCAGCAACAGCAACAGCAGCTACAACAACAGCAACAGCTACTCACAAAACCGAATGCCTAACACAGTGGCAGATACAACCATTATCGTATGTGGTGTGTGTGCACATATGAGATGCAGATGTGTGAAGCATGAACATGTGCATCAACATGTTACATATATATATATATACATACATGTATGCATATGAAATGCAATAAACCACTTAGCAAATTTTCTGCTGTATAAGGCATAATACAGCCAGTCCACAACAGCACGCCAGATAGCGTGCAATACACAATACATATACATAGTCACATCGTACACAACATACACGTATGTGTATAGATACATATGTATATACATGTGTATATATATATATATATATACATATACATGTACACGTGTGTATGTGCACACATACATAAGCACATACACACAGTAGATATACAAGACAAAAACCTGGAACCAGACATACATCCACCTATATATATATATATACATATACATACATAAACATGTGTGTATGTATATATATATATATATATATTCTGTATGTATGTCTACACACCGTAAACTATAACCGTGAGGCAGATTTTACAATATATGTGTAATCAATAAGGTGTATGGGTACATATACATATGTATATATATATATACATATCTATGTATATATATATATATATATATATATATATATACATACATATATATATATATATATATATTGGCAAAATCAGTGTACATGTAAACGTAGGTGAACGAAATATGTGGATATGTGTATATATGTGTATATTGTGTATGCACAAGATTTCAGTCTAGTAAACCAAAGTTCCATGTGCGTTCCGACGGGGTATTACGGGGTCAGGGATGGGTTCAACGCAGGAGTTCCAATGCATGCTCTAGTACATGTGGGTGGTTGTCAAAATTAGGGCCCCTTTTTGGGTACCCTAAATACTAGGTGCCGTACTAGACTAGAATCGGGATTCAAAAAGGGACCCTAATTTTGACAACCACCCATGTTTCTCCTCCCAAACATGTGCACGCTGTTCTGGAAAAGAACTCCATCCTACGAGTACATTCTCAGCGTCGCAGCAACCGCGCCCTTAATTGCTCCTTCACCCGAGGCCTCGGTGTTCAAGATCTTCATGACTCTGTCGTGATGCTCGGAGTTGAGCCAGGTGACAAACTCGTCATAGCCAATCGAATGGCCTCGGTAAGCCGCATTCAAAGGGGAGTTGCTTCTGAAAGCAGAAAACCCTGAACCCTAACCGATTCAAGCAGTATCTTGGCTCGCTGCTGTAGTCCGTGTCGGCCTTTCGCAAGAACGTCGGGGCGACATATTCTCAGCTTTCACAGCATGTTCTCTTTCGAACCGCCGCCGTCACCGGAATATTTGCTAAACCCTCTTTTCCTCAACCCTAAACCCGAAAGTCTGAACCGAACCTTCTCCATCATCTTCTCGATGTCGTCGGCAGACATCGTGTTCAGAAGCTTCCGCATCATAGACCCGAGCTCCGGCCTGGCGACAACCTAGAAAATTTCAGCATCCCGAACCCCTTCAATAGTAATAATGGTAGTCAAAACAGTACAAATGGCCAGAACATTAATGATAGCAATAACAGTAATGATGGTAATAGTAATAATAATAATAATAGCAATAATAAAGATAACCACAATAATGATCTTACTACACAAAAATAGCGAGAATACTTGTAGACATAATGCCGATAATGAGCATACAAACCCTTTGCCCTACCTGAACCGAATAACGCACTTGATTAAGGACTTGTATATCAAAATCAGAATAAGGGGCCCTGAAAGGTTCTTCAGGGTCCAGGTAAGCAAGCCCTAAACCCTGTCTACTCTTACTCCCTCTGAAAATTTATGAAAACCTTTGATTGTTCATTGATCCCAATTCTATCACGATTCTCAGTGGTGGTCGTCACCGTAGCGGCGGTGGTGGTAGTAGTAGTTGTTGTTGCTGTTGCTGTGCTGGTGGTGGCCTTGTGGAAGCAATGCTGACTTTACCCTGGCGCCAGAATGCCTTGGGCCCCGCTATGAGGTCAACACCTACTCCGACACCAAGCCCCCACACCTTCGTTACATCGTGCCGATTGTGAATCGGAGAGAATTACTCTACAATCTACAAAGCCCATCCGTCCGCACGATCCAGCCTGCTAAGTTTTCCGTTGTTGTTCCTGGCGGCAGGAAAAGAGCGCCACTGCGGCTTGCAGCGTAGACATGGAAAAGCACGAACACGCAGATCTCTCCGAAAGTGCATTGTGACCCTTTCGACAGGAGTGTCCTGTCTGCACGGGCGAAGGTGGCCCTCAAGAAGGTCGTGCGAACCTGCCAGTCAAGTTAGACCCTCCAGATCTGAGTGTATCCCAATGTCACCACCCATATCTTTTGGAGCGCGGAGCGAAGCAACACTTCGGTAGTATCTCTCTACCCACTACAACCACTCGACATGCCATTCCGAGACTGTGCCGGCTGCTACTGGCACTCGTACCCGCGCTTGTACTCGTCGCACTCGCACTCGTATAATAGTAGTAGCAGTAGTGGTACTACTACTGCTACTACTACTACTACCAGCGGCAGCACTACCACTACTACTACCAGCGGCAGCACTACCACTACTACTACTGCTGCTGCTGCTACTACTACTACTACTACGACTACTACCACTACCAATACCTCTACCACGAGCACGAGCACCACCACTACCAGCACCACCACCAGCACCACCACTGTCACTACCGCTACTGCTGCTGCTTCTTCTTTTGGGCGCTGCAAAAACGCGATGTCTGTATGGCAGCCCAGTGGATTAGCAGGGACTGCACCGGACGCTTAGAGCAAGCTCAGCTTTAGGGGACTTCTGAAAAGATCATGATCTGGAACGCCTTCTGGCTGGAAAGCCCAACTCGCAGAGGCGTGCATGCTGTGCTTTGGCTGCTAGGCACATAGGGGTTGCGTTCTAGGGTGTGCAAGGACTGCAACAGACACGGGCAGAGAGGTCCGAAGGCTTAAGAGAACGTCAGAATGGGCAGCAGGGAACATCACTACGAGTACTGCTGCTGCTGCTGCTGCTGCTGCTGCTGCTACTGCTGCGGCTGCTACTGCCACTGCTACGGTGACGACTCCTCCTCGTGCTGCTACTTTTGCTGCTCCGTCTCCTTCTTCTGGTGCTACGGCTCCTTCCTGCTATTCCAACTGCGACCACCACTACCGCGACTGCTATTGCTGGGGGCGATGACGACTATGTGCTACTGCTACTTCGGCGGCCAGGATGATACCCCCAGACATGATACAACATAGCGAGCCTGCACCTGAGTCCCGAAAGACCCGAAGGACAACAACGCCGCACAAAACAGGAAACCAGAAACGATTGACGCCGGCCACCCTGCAAGGCCTAAGAATCCTGAGAAAACAAGTCTTATTTAGGCATCTGTCTGAATCATCGGACCGATGACCGCTTTTGCTAGTTTTCTATGTGCACTCCGTTTGCTGCAGCCCGACGCACCTCGTCGCCAACGGTGGCCATGCTTCGAGCTAAGGCTCCCAGGAGCCCGTTGTTCTCGGCCTGAGCTCGCTGCTTGAAGAAGGCAGATCACAGCTGGGAATTGCATGGCATGCAGAATTGAGCTACCGTCCAGGCAGATTGCCAGTTCATCAGTGGATATGGTGTGAGTGGTGAGTCGACTTTGGGCGTGTTTCGCATGTTCTATTCTTGGTGTTGGGTTTAAGTCTGTCCGAACCAGGTCAATGCATGATAGCTCTCATTAGCTTGACGCCTCATGCCGTAATCATACAGAGGCATACAGTAGGTGCCCTGGTTCCGGCTCTTTGTGCTGAATTGGACTCTGAGTCGCTAGGAGATGAGCTCCGTCTCGCCACCCCGTAAGGCCAGGACGCCAGATTGGGCTTCCAGCTTTGGAACAGCCTGGCATCATGCCGCTTGCACTACGAGCTGCTTATACCTGTAGTCTCCATTGTAGTTCCTTTTGGGGTTACATTATAGGATCCTTATTATTTATTTGGTTAAACCAAAAGAAGGAACTACAATGGAGACTACAGGTAAGTGCTCAAGACTCCTCCAAAACACCACTGCCGGCCCGACAGCGGGGGCTCCCATGCAGAGGCTCTCTGACGGATGAAACTTGCACCGGGAGCCTGCCTCTGGCACTGCGTTGAGCAGGAGCACGTTTGCATGCGACTTCCTGGGTGCAGATACCCCGGGATCTCTCGTAGCATCGTACCTATAGGCCCTATAGGCTCCATTGTAGTCCACTTTCGGGGTTCATATTTAGAACATTTTAGAAACCTATAAGATAATCCCAAAAAGGAACTACTATGGAGCCTATGGGTAGGTCCCAGAACTGAGTCGCGTGCTTGATGCCAAAGTATCGTTTCACATGGTTGCTGAGAACGAAAACGCCGTGGCTGTTGAAGCCAACCCTTCCAAAGCCCACGCGGAGACTCCTCGGGCGGCTGATGCTGAGCGTAGTATTATATCTAATTATCTTGTTATATTAAACAGGGCTTAGGCTTTAGGTTTACTTACCTTTGGTTGGTAGGGAATGGAGGCATGGTAGTGATGGGTTCTGTGCCACCCCGACTTCTCCCACTGAGGCTTGGGCTTCCTCTTCTCCCCGGTCATCTTTTCCTGCTTCAGGAAGTGGGAGACGTGCTCGCGCTCCTCGGGCGTCGGCTCCTGTGCAATCTGGTGATCTGGTCACAGGTTATGCGGAAGTGAGGTTGCGATTCAGTGGCGCGGCTTGACAATCGGAGAAGAAACATGCCGATTCTTCGGATGCAGTCAAGCGCTGGGAAGGGCCTTCCAACTGTCGCAGTCATCTCCCTGAGGGTCACCAGTACATCGATGCAAAGGTACGTTCCTTTCTTCCCATTCCAGCCTGGATCATCAAGCCATCTCCTGCGGTCAGGATGTCCATCCTGTGTTCACCGGGCACCTCGGAACCGTCAGGCTCAGAGGAGCCCCAGGATGTCACCGCTTTCAGGCTCGGAGTCTGGCCCGGACGGTGATGTCCTCATGTCTTGCCAACTTTTTTTAAGCGCTGGACAACTAGTTAGCCCATCCTATCATGTGATTCAATTTCTGTTTGATTATTATTCTTATTTTTATTTGTGGGACTAATTATTATATTTATTATTATTACTATTATTATTATGTATTATTATTATTTCATTTCCCTTTTCGGGGGGCACTCCCTGACTGTTCGGGTCCTCATCTGCCATCGCCTGCACTTAGCCACGCCAAGTGCTGCACCGACCTCTGGACAGGCTCAGAAGGCCCGAAAAGGATCCGAAAAACTTCGTCAAGGGCTCAGGATAAGAATCAGGCTTTGCAGCTGCCAGCGGCGAGACGAATCTCAATTTGAGCCAGGATCATGGCGTTTTAGTTGCGCAAGGTATCATCGAATCGTATCTACACATCAAGCCGCTCACGAGATTTTCCTGTCGATCCCAAATCGAGTCCCATGTTTTGAAATCCACGGAGTGTGTGCAGCGTCCATGGGTCCAAGAAAAGCTGCCTAAAATAGTGGCCTTATGGTTAGAATAGGGTTTTGGTGTATATTATACCATAATTACAATAAGGAGCCCCAAACTAGTATAGGTAATTATTGAATGCCCTATATTAGTCGACAGGAACACCCGCGCTTTCGTTGTACAGCCGGCTCACAAGATCGTCCTTGCGGCCGCTGACCTGTAAGGGACGTCGCATAGCTGCTGTTGTCTTCAGAGTACCCTAAGGCCCCAAAGTAGTTCCTTCTTGGTGTTCATATATTTTTGCCACATATAGTTTCCCACAAGATAATCCCTAAAAGGAACTACTTTGGCGCCTATGGGTAGTGATGGGGACTCATTCGTCCATTTAAAACAGGCGCGAGTACGTCGACTCCGTGCAAGAGCTTCTGGACGAAGGTCTGAGGCTCTGGCTTTGAGGCCTTTGCTTTTCAACAAGTCCTGTGGCATTCCCGGCAAGGATCTAAGCAATCTAAGCCCACAGCTGCATTGCCATCCTGGTCTCCGAGTTCCACAAACATCACAGCCCTAAACCCCTAAACCCTTTTAAACCCTAAACCCCTAAACCTTGAACCCTAAACCCTAAACCCTAGTGCGACCTTGAGCTGCGAGATGGTCATGTTCGACAGTTCTTCCTTGGAAGGTCCAGCGGCCTGCCAACGTTACAGGCATGATTTAGGTACGGCCCCCATACAGTAAGAGTCTATAATAGGCCTACTATTAAGGTCCTACTATATCTCTATTATGAATATTATTCAACTATCACTGAGTGGGGGCCGTACCTAAGGCTCAACTCCTGAGGAGCAAAGATTGCCTTGGGACTTCACAAAGGTGGGACCTAGAAAGAACCAGAGACCCTTACCCTGAAGTGTATTAAAGCCCGGTTTCAACATCAGGAGTGCCTCTTCCGCTTCTTCGAGGTCCTGGCCGACCCGGACAGAGCGGTTCAACAGCAGATGCAACAGCTACACCTTCAGGATTTGCGGCCTAATACGAGTGTGTAGGGTCCATCATGACTGCACCGAAAAACCCTGTCTTCGTTGGGCTAAACGCACCATCTCCCGCCGCTGGCTTTGGGTAACACCTGACCTCGAGTTGCTAGAGACTTTTGGGCGGAAGCGAACATGTCGACGTGTGCGTCAACACTGGCTTTGCTAATCTTCTCTTGGAGAGGACATGTCGCTTTGTAGTTCCAACCGGCTTCAAATTGGTGGCCCGCATTTTGCCAGCTATGTCAAGGGAGTTTCCAAAAATTAGGGGCACCTCATTTTGCGGTCCTTATAATAAGGATCCTACTACTTAGGGTGCTACATTAGGGTCCCCCATTTTCGGAAATTCCCTTAACAACTTCCCGGAATCGGGCCTCACGTGGTGGCTCTGCTGGGTCATCATCCACTTCCTGGTCAAAGCTCCCATGCATGGTACTTTCAATGCTGCTGCACCGTTACACGATCTTCAACAGACGGCTTCAATTGACCCTTCCTCGTTTGTACTTCCTTGTCCCAGCCTCAGCAAATCATTCCAAGCTCTTTCCGGGGCTGCGACACGGCTCGCAAATGCTCCCAACGACATCAGGTAGGCTTGCGGCACACCCACCACAGATCGCACGCACTGTACTAATTTGTCGCTCACCTCCAGATGCGATAGGCTGGCATGAGCCCGACTTATGTACCCGCAGAACTGTGTGCAAAACCCTTTCCAGGCCTCAGAAACTTCCATTCCGTCCGTTTGGTTTTCGGTTCCGTCGAGAGCATCGAGAGCTTTCCATGCAATCGCATCATTGACCAGCTGCCGCAGCCGGAGAAGTAACTCGTTCGTGCGCTTCACTCGGGCTCCTACCTGTCGGAGAAGGCTTCAACGCCTGCTGCCCTGCCTGGGATGCCGTGCCTGCAACCAGTTGTCCAAAACCATGCAGGTGTGCTTCTTCTGGTCGTCGGACTCCTTGCGGCAGGCGGGGCCGTCTGAACCCGATTGCTGTTCTGAAGTGGACAGTCTTGTCCTTGTATCGCAGGCCGCCAAACAGCGCGAGCTGCCAGTCTTCTACTTGGGTGGTGCTGTGCATGAAAGACCGGTTGGCTCCCACCTACAGAGCTCTCGTCGCACACAGCGAGCTAAAGGCTAAAGGCAACACACCAAAAGCTCGTGGATTTTTTCACAGCCTGCACATCTCCATACAGCCACCATAGGCCATCCTCGCCTTGCAAGAGGTTTTTGCAAGACCGGCCTAGAAACCCCTTGAACCCTTTACTTCGCACCTTCGGCGTTGACGGAGGCCGGCGACATGACAGCAGACCCCAGGTTGCTGATCTGAAAGCTCGAGTGTTTGTCCTTGGACCTGGGTTGGACTCTGATTCTCTGCATGTTCTGCTGATGCAACGCAGGCGCCAGTTCAACTTGTTGCTGCTCGGATGCCTCATGGCAATGTTTGCCGGGTAGGCGCTGCAAAGAACTGTCACAAGCTGGATGTCACCTCAATGCGCCAGACTTGAGAATCAACTGCGAAGGATTTGTTCACACCGCTGTAATCTCAGGCAAAAAACTGATTGAACTGGCACTGGACGATGAGGACATATCCTGTCTTTGATCGTGCTCCTGATAGGTGGTATGCACTGTATTTTCACCGCATGAATCAATGAACATACAACCCTTGGACATGAAGTTCGGGCTCTGTCTTCAGTAAACCCGTACGGCGACTGAGCTGTTCAGAAGAGTGCTTTGGGCGGGGGGAGCTGCAAAGTCCATGCAAAGCCAACCCGGCCTCTTGTTCCACTTTCTCGAGTGCCTCGTCAGATCATGTAGCCACTTGTCACTCTGTTATAGCAGCACTGGAACAAGTATAAACTCTTCAGATTGCCCCGGTGAGCCTCTTCGAGTTCCCCGCGCGTCTCGAGCAAGGCGGCGCTGTCCTCTGCGGCCGTGAGATCCTCGGGAGTCAAGGCAGAGGACTGGTTCACTCACTGCTGTTTTGCAATTGAGTCGCCACTTCCGTCTTCATACCTGGCTCATTGCTGGGGGAGGCCCTGGTACGCAGAGGCACATAATGTGAACGAAAGTCTTGCACTTTTGACTTGTGACGGGGTCGCCCAAACAGCAGAGATCTTTGACCCCATGCTTCTACTCGTAAGGAAGCCTTTTAAGTGGTGTAAGACATAAACCCTGTTTGCGCTGCTGCTTAAAGCTCATGACGCCAGGCAATCCTTCCAGCACCGCACCCGAACCGCAACCTACACTCTAGTGGTGAAGGCTGCACTGGCATGGAGATGTCCTGCCCTCGAAACCCAGCTTCCCACCTGTGACGGGCGTCAAGCGCAGCAATCCCGCGCGCTGCATGTCCCGCAGAAGGTATGCCTGTCACAGTCTCCCGATATCGGCCGAAAGAATGTTCATAGAGCTATGCACAAACACAAAGATATCACAAAAGTCAGAAAGGCCGCCGAAAAACGAACAGTGGCCACCGTGTACGGTGCTATCGGATGGCAATTCACAGTTGCTGGCTCCTTACAGGTCTAATCGGCCCAGTTGGCTAATTCTCGAGCTGCTAACCGCTATGTACAACAGCAGCATCGTGTCGGATCCCTCCGCCGAATCCGATCTAGAATATAGGATTTCACAGTCCTTGAGTTCCCGACGACATTGGCACATCTGCACATAGGCACTTAAGGGCTGAGCATCCTAGCCCCAAGAAAGGTCAGCCTTTTGACTCATGGTAGGATTATTATGTAAACCGCACGAGGTTAAGGGTTGCCTATGCTACTCTGGGCATGTGGATAGCATGTGTTTACATGCATCCAGGTGGGTCTAATGTATGTAAAAATGCGAGAGCATGCTCTGAGTATCCAAACAATATAGATCTTGTACGAAAAATATGGCCAAGGTAAGCTGGGGACATAAGCCTACTCCACATATGCTCAGCACTTTAAGGATACGAAGCATCTGCGATGGCCGCACCTTGTCGCGTGCGAGTCCGGCCAATCTGCTGGGACTGAGCCGCTTCATTTCGGCCCATTTCTGGGCTGCTGCTTCGTCTTTGGCAGCACGCTCCTAGGCGTTCTAGGCTTAATGGGGACCCCTACCCTATAATGGGCTATATAATAGGTATATAATAGCTATACTAAGGGTATATACCTAGGGTCCTTATTCAGGGGCCAAGAAACCAGTCGAATGTTGTACCTTATTTTGGGGTCCTTATAATAAGGATCCTACTATTTAGGCTACTATACTAGGGTCCCATGAATGAAGGCTCTGAAATTCAGCACCTCCAGAAGGCTCAGCTCCTGACCTCCCAGGCCAGGAGGGCTCGAGCAGCAGCCACTGGATCAGACCAGCTGCAAAACTCTTTTTGAGCTTCGACCACCTCATAGGGGCCCATTATACTATAATTATTGCGAGGAGCCCCACGATATGCGCAGTTGAAGAGAAGATGCATCGAGGGGATCATCGAAGGAAAAGGTTCAAAACACGGTACCTATAGTCTCCATTGTAGTTCCTTTTTTTGGTATTACCAAATATGTAATAAGGATTCTATAAGGTAACCCCAAGAAGGAACTACAATGGAGACTACAGGTAACTTTTGTCACCGTGCCTGCTGTCTGCTTCCAACGAAAGGCGCCCGGCCGCCAGCTGCTACCAAGAGCGCAGCAGCTGGCTTTGGAATGCCCAGCACACAACCAAGCCTCGTTTGAGAAGAAGATGTCAAAGATCTACAAATAATTCATTCGGCACCTATTTAGATTTGACACCAAATTTTTAAGTTTAATTCATATGACACCTAGATTGAAAATTCAAAGTTAAGATGCATCGCAGCTCTTCCCAGCAATGGCTCCAGTGGTAGCCTGGCCAGCACCTCCCAAACCGGAGGCGGTACCGTCTTGCAAGCACGCGTGCCCAGAGACTCCAATATCCCCTTAATTAAAGACTATACCTTAAGTTATAGTAGGATCCCTAATGTGATTTATGGTATATCCCGTCATTTAGCGATATTGGAGTCTCTGGGTGGTTTGACGATTGCATGCCTCTCCAATTGCCAGCATTGTAGGGCAATCTTCAGGGTCGGAGTTGCTAATGGCGCGGATGGCCACGAGCTGTTCCATCGCTGAATCCACTGCCGCAATGTTTGGCTGGTCCAGGGCACTTGCGAGGAACTTACGTGGGTCCCGCCCCAGCGCGATAGCCTGAGCAGTGCGGGCATGACTGGGAAAAGAAGAACCCGCTTCCTCCTTCCCTTTGTGTCTTTTGATAATTCGGCAAATGTGCGCAAACCGCAAAACATTTTCACATTCACGCGCCTTGCCTGAAGGCAGCTTTGGGCGAGGTCACAGCGCTGCATCTCCGGTGAAGGCTGTGGTGGGAGCGCCTGACTTCCAGCTTCGCATAGCAGCGATGGCAAGCTACAGTAATGTCTGCGTTGCACTGGGGCGGTGGCCGAAAACTGCTGGCGGCTGTACAGTCGCAGAACCCTCCCCGATCGTACACGCCCGGCACGACCTGGCATCATGGTGGGTAGGGTAGCATCAAGTTCACACGGTCTTGAAACGGACCGCTAGGCTGTGAGTTCTGGCAACTGCTTCTACAAGTGAACTCGCAGGGTTCCGAGTCGTTTCTGTCAGGGTGTGTGCTCTTGATTCAAACTACGTACACTCTCTGCTCTGCACACCAGAGGTGGGTTGGCTTTAGGTGGCTGTATGCTTTCACGAAGAAGGCGTCAGGGAGGGAAACAGGAAGCCAGCTACCCGTGACTGGGCAAGGTACCGCTGCATGTCCACCCCCGGAGCCTCGTCTTTGTACGGCACCACTTTGCGAGACCCATACCTAGGTCCATGGTTGGGATAGTATTGAAATTTAAAGTTTTACTCCTCATTGTTTTTCCGTATATACATATAAAGCTGTATAATGTTACCCAACTGTGGCAAAGATTCAGTGTCCAGCGATGACATGCGCCGCTTGGGGTCGTAAGCCAACTCACGCTGGAGCCCCGAGTCAATTACAACTTCCACCTTTTTTTGACTTCGGGGCTGAGTACCCTAGCCCCAATTTAAAACGGTACCTTATATGGGGGTCCCCATAATAAGGATCCTACGATTTAGGGCACTGTATTAAGGCCCCCATGACCTTTTGAGTTATGGTATGATTATATCAACCCCAAAAGTTTAAAGGTTACCTACTCAGCTACTAAGTTGATGGTCGAAAATCACGCAGGCGTGAGATCGTGCAAGGATGGATGAAGCGAACAGAAATCCGATGTTGGAGTGTGGACAAGGGTCATCATTGATTGTCACGGAGCTCTCTGCGATGTTCGTGGCCAGGATGACTTTCACTTTGCTTTTTGGCGGCTTTTGGAAAACTTGCTGCTGTCTCTCCTGAGGCAGAGGCTCAACTGAACTGGCACAGGGCTCGACCCAATGTGTACTGTAGATGCTGCACCATGCTGCATTGGCAAAGGCTGTGCCTTGGGCAAGGTCGAGTGCAAGGGCACGGCCCAGATCTGTTTGGCTTCCTCTCCTTCGCTCAGCCGTTCTTGGATCTGCCTGCGACAGCCATGCGAAGCCGAGAGAACAGCATTGCTGGTAACTAGTCGATGTGAGCGCGAGCTAAATTGAAGGAAGAGTCTTTATTCGAAAGCTCTGCGTAGCCCTTGGAACATCGCGGAGCCACCTTCTGTTCTAGTTCTACCTCTGCCGGCACGTGGGAAGTGTGCTGGGAGCAAACCGGGGATGCATTGGAGGTTGCCGAGTTGCTGGGTGAGCAAAGTCTAGCGAGCCAGTGGCTTTGCTGGTTCATCGGTGCTTCGTGTTGATTTTCCTCTGCTTCCATGCTACTCATTCAACACTCGGATTCGTCATGGCCTGATTTCAGACCAGCCAGGTAGGAAGCAGAGCACCTCACGTGGGCATGGGCGGGGTTCATGCATCCTTAAACTCATGCGATGGCGCCAGTGGAAGCACTAGTCAGGTTTTCCTCCTTGATTTGGCCGGGGCACAGAGCCTTTCACGTCTTGGCCTGGGTTCGCCAGCGAGCGAAACTGAATCGGGAACTGCTTGCAAAGGTCGTTAGGGCAGTCGCAACCCATTGTGCAGTCGAGCATCTGTTCCTGCTGGACATCTCCCGCACAATCGCGCAAATGGATGATTCCATCACCTGAAGAAGTTTGTCGATCTCCCCACCATCGTATCCGCCCCACAACCTTTGTGCTGGGCTTTCCCGGTCGGTGTCCTCACCTCATGTTGCCGGCAGAGTGAGACAACTCGCTCGACCTTCACCTGCTATGCCGTAAATGTACAGCAACTGCCACATCAGTGCTTGTGCTGGAAGCAGTGTTGTAGTATCAGTAGCAGCAGCAGCAGCAGCAGCAGCAGTAGCATTCGTAGTCGTCGTCGTCGCAGTAGAAGCACCAGCAGATGCAGCAACAGCAATGGCAGTAGTAAAGAACCACCATCACAAACATCACCACCACGACCGCCACTGCCATCAGCACCACCAGCACCACCACTACTGTACCCGACTTTGTTGCTGCAGAAGCGGTTGACAATAATTCTGTAGGTAGTGACACAGAATGACAGAGCAAGACTATACATGCATCCTGAAAAGTGCGTAGATGCAGCATGGGCAATGGTAACCAGATTCATCACGGTTCGGATTCTGATTTTGGTTCAATCACCTCATGGTACATGCTACTTTTAGAATTTTAGAAGAAGTCGTCGAACACTGTTATCCACGGAAATGAGGCCAAGTAAGCACAGCCACCCTCCTGGGTCTCATTTTGCTCTGCCGCCTGACGAGCCCGATCCTGAGCAAACAGATGTTACAAGCCCACAAGAAACAAGCGACGGTTTAGGAGGCTTAGGGTTTATTCACTCTAGGGTTTAGGGTTTATTCTAGGGGTTATGTTAGGGTTCTAGGGGTTTGGGGTGCTTAAAGGGTTAGGAGCAGGCAGATTAAGGCGCACCTCTGCTGTCAGTAGTGCATTCGTATAGGTGAACTCCGAGAAGAAATCTTCTTCCAGATGCACCTCCTCGACTGGGAACAGCGTCTCGGACTGGACCTGCTGACACCAGGCGTGGGAGGTCATAAGCCACAAGACAGGGCGCCTCGAGAACAGGACAAGAGTCGAAATAGCTGGTAAAGGACTGCACCTCAGAACTGAGATGGCATTCGGGGCTACGGCTACAGCCTTTGGCCAAAACAACCCTGCATTCGAGGCAAGCTTCATCCAGCGTGGCGCTCATCAGCACGAGCTTCAGATCTGGCCTGCTTGGCAGCACCTGCAACTTGCCACGCTGGAACGCGCCTTCCACATCCTATTGCTCTACACCGAGACTACGTGAGGACGCAGCTTGCGATTTCATGTATGCAGGTATGCATGCATATACCATGTATTAATTGTATTAATTAACTGGAGGTTCCAACCAGGTGGGTACTGTAGTTAGACCAGACAGATGATCGCAGAAAGCCGAAATCAGGGAAAGCAGCTTTCCCTTCCCAACAGGAGTCAGGCCTCGCGCAGCAACACCAGAAGGAAGTCCGTTAGCATGTCGCGCTCGTGAACTTCGTCCACGATGACCACATCGCAGTTTCGCAAGCAGGAGTCGTCAACTGCTCGCCGGAGCAAGGTTCCTACCGTTAAGAATTCGATTGACCCCCTGGCAGAAGGCCGTATAGCATTCCCATGCACGGCATAACCAATGGATTGTCCGACCTGAGGTGTGGAGGAGACTTCGTTCTTGCTTGCCCGCACTTGCCTTTGACCAATTTTTGCGGCCTTTGCTGAGCTTCTGACCTGCTGCCCACGCTCCCAGGCCACACGCTCTGCCACAGAAATTGCGGCAATCCGGCGCGGCTGCGTGACTACAATCCTGCAAACTTGATCGATGCAAAATCTCAAGCGATTTGGCAACTGTTGCATACTGGCATTGTACTTAATGCGTTTTTCTCGAAGTGGCCGCAGGAAATTTCAACAGTTTGCACGGTCACACGGTCTTTACCTGCCACTTGGGAAACATAGCGACGAGGGCCTTCTATCAGGAGCGCGTTGTTGAGTGCCTACTAGTACAGTGGCCTTTCTAGGAGGCTTTTATGTTGACCCGGCTCGCATCCCTTCGTCGTTCCTCGGCGCATGCTCCGCATCCCAGTCGTCCAGGAGAAATTGCCTGGGTTTCATAGACTCGCCAAACAGGAATGCTCTGGCAATACCCCGGCATCCTGAATTGGAAAGAATCACTGATAAGGTGCCATGGAATATAACTTCATTCGATGCTTTTCGCAGGGCTTCCACTGCAAGCAAGTGGCGGGAGCTGGGTCGTCTTGCCGCTTCCGGTACCACCAGACACAACCAACACTTGAGACGAATTCAGCACCTGTAGGGCACCGTGCCTCTGCTCTCCCACTCACTCCGACGGCACAGAGAAGCCTCGGCTAAGCCTTAAAGGCATCAAATACTATAGGGGCCTCAATAATTACCAATACTACTTTGGGGGCTCCTTATTAGAATTACAGTATAATGGGCCCCAAAACCCACAACCCTTTTCTAATTATTGAAGCCCATTTGCAAAGCAGCCAGAGGGGGGGCCTCTCCCAAGCTGTCCCGAATCTGTTCGATGGGAAGCTTGCCACGAACATCAGCCCGTCTTGGGTCGTTCGCTTCAGGGAGTCGGCGAAAATGCCTGAACTCTGATAAATAATATATATATATATATATATATATATATACACAGTTTAATATAAGTATAGTAGAGAATAATCTTATAGTATACACACACATATATATATATATATATGTGTGTATATGGCATAATGGTGAATTGTGAAGCTTCTTGAAGCCACTTGGTGGCAGCTCGAATCGCAATCAAAATGTCGGCCAAGGCTGCCGGAACGTCGCTGCATCTGCTGAGGGGGTCTCGGCTCCTTCGTAGAGCTGTTCAGCTGCCCACCTGGCCAGGTATCGGCAATCACAAAGATGGGAATGAAGCGGCTAGTGATGGTGGAAAGACGACCATGGAGACTCTGCGCGCGGCTGCTGTGTGCAACGATGCTTTTGCTTTTTTGAAATCTGCGGCAAAGACCGATGCGGGTGCTAGAAGGGCACAAGTACCTGTAGGGGTCCTACTGTAATATGTCCCAAAACCCTCCTTCCCCATTGCTACCTATAAAGCCGCCTTGTACATCTCCTGTCCTGGATAGATTTCAGATTTGTTTGCCACAGCTTCCAGTTGGCTTCCGTGGGCAGCATTCGTCGCACTTCGTCCTGAAGACCACGGCCGCGGCTTAGAGTTTCAGAGTTTTTTCTTGAGCACCTTTTTCGGCACCGAGGGGTTTCAGGTTTTAGAGTCTAGGGTTTAGCAGGGTTTAGGGTTATACGGCTCAGGGATATGGAATGAGCTCCGCTGGAATTCCCCGTCCTCGCCGCCCATGTGACCCCCAAGCGGCGAGAGGCGGAGGACCTCGTGTCTCAGGACACTCGTCCTTCCACTCCATGGCTGACCCATGGACGCCTGCTGCCAAGAAAAGGAACCCAAAAAAGCATTTTACAGGGATATCCTTACATTATTGGGCTTCATGATAAGGGGATTTATATGGGATATCCCTATCCTAACTTTTGCTCATGTGCTTTTTTGGGGCCCTACAAGAGAGAACAGGTGCAGTGCGACTAGGTGCCACCGATGATGTCACATGCGGTGTAGCAGGCGATATAGTCCCCCCCCAAGGCACAAGCAGAGCGTAGCAAGCTCGCGTTTATAAGACGTAAGAATGGAACATGGAGATCTGGGTTGTAGTTTTTGGGCTCTGAAAAGTATTCATGAATAGGTACCTCTATAGGAACCATAAGGGAAATTAAAATGTTTCCCAAAGTGCCACCTAGAGATAGATCCGCGGATAAAAACCAGTGCGTCAAGTGCAGGACATCCAGCCTGCCGCTGAGCCCAAGTCTGGCTCCACAACCTGGAGTATGACAGGAAACAGACGGTCAAGAGATGCGGTTAGGAACCCTAGCTATGATTTACCTTTACCCACCAGAACCTACTTTTTTGTAGGGTCCCTATGAATTCAATAATAGGATTTATAATAGGAACCTACAAAAAGTTTTAGTAGGTTAAGGTAAGGTATATTCCTTAATAAGGGGGTTGTGGAGTCTCTGGGTAGGCGGCCTCAGAATCCGGTTCCTTTCCCGAGATTCTGCAAAACCCTGGCCCAATGCTCAAGGTCTGGGCTAAGCCCCGAGCTTAGTTACGTCTTTGGCTTGAGGGTTTTGGGTTTGGAGTTTGGCTTACAGCCTGCAGTGCTTGGAGGACGAAAGAGATTACAGCTTGAGATTCGAAGCCGTAAGATACAACATTTCGGGTGGAGGTTTATCGTAATCATATTAATACTACGACAACTATTACAAACACCAGTAGTAGTAGTAGTAGTAGTAGTAGTAGTAGTAGTAGTAGTAGTAGTAGTAGTAGTAGTAGTACTGCTGATAACAATACAAACAATAATTCAGAATAGTACTGCTAATGCTATGCAGGCGGGGTACTCTGGCTCATGGGGATCGCCTGCCGGCACGCGAATGTACCAGCGCAAGCGGCTCATAAACGTTTCCGCTGCGAGAGCGACGGCAACCTTGCAAAGGCAATCCCGTTCGCTTGGCTGGGACATGAAGGGATCCACTGCCAGTCTGTTGTGCCGATGTTTATCATTTTTGTCAAGCAGCGTCACGGTCGTAGTCAGCGGCCGGGCCCACCACATGGGTCTCAAAGCATTTGCAAGCGATCGCAGCTTGCCAGGCCTTGCCGCAAGGCTGGAAGGCACTGATGAAGACATCCTCCAGCTTGCCCTCCAACGAAACCAGCCTGGCACAGACAGATTCACACTTACGAGAAGCTCACTCGACGGCTCCACAAGAAGGTACCGCAGAAATTGCTATTTCTTTTACAACTAAAAGTTCCACCGCATGCTCGAACTCTCGGTCTCACGTAGAAATACGTGGAGCCCAAACGAGGAATCTTTGCCCAGTCGCGTCTCCGCTGCTTGGATCGCCGGCAAGCGCGCTCCGGAATGAGCTTCGTTATTTCGCACTGCGTTTGCACAGCGTCGGATCTCCTGTCACAAACCCAGGCACAGCCCTTCGTCTTGCTTCAATGCACTTGGCAGCCACGTACATGCAGGTAACTACATTACATGCTGCGGCCATTTCTGGTGCCTGTTTCTTAGCGATGCTTCTCTGATAGGTTTTCCCCCACGCGTCCTCCACCGGTCTGTCTGGGAAAAACAATCGATCCAGAGCTTGCTGGGCAGCCAATTGCTTTGCATCTTCGCTGCCAACTGCAAGGCCCGCCCCGGCAACAAAGCCACAGTGGTGCACGTCGCACGTCACCAAGACAAAGAACCGCCCGCGCTTTAGCTGCTGGACGGTGTACTTCCTGTTCGCTTGTCGTTCAGGCCGGAACCCGGGACTGTTCTACATGTATTATCCTATATGTTATGAAAATTTCCATATCATTTTACATTATATTGAATTATGTTGTTATATTGCTATATATAAGTTACTACATCCAACACGACTGAGGGCCCGGCACTTGTGCTAGCTGTCCGTTTTCCTTCCATGCTTCCAGTCTGGCCACCGACTCGTGGGAAACCTCGTCGAATTGAACCTCCCAAGCACAACAGCCTCGTACCCGTCCGACCACAATGGCGCCTGCACTTTTTGAAACTCAGTCCTCCATGAGCGGTCTGAGTTCAGCGTAATCGGTCATCCAAGGGTCCCCGGCATACTCTAAATACTTCTCCAAAATTGGCCTCGGAAGCAACACTGAAGAACGAAATGAAGAAAACAATGGAAATCATGCATTAGAAATACTACAATGAGCTCTCGCAAACCCTTGCAACATGTCTAAGCACGGGGCTCGGAAGATTTCAGCTGTTGCAACAAGCCTCGAATCTCCTGCGCCGAAGACATGTGTTGGCAGGGTTCGTGACGTGTGAAGCTGTTATATAAATCACACGGCTGGGATCGGAGAGCCCGTCAGTCCCTCTTTGGCCATTTGATAATGGTGCCAAGCGAACTTTGGGCGTTCGCTGAAGTGCAGACGGCAGTGGCTGCCTGGCAACAAAACGTGGAATCATAGATCTTGAGATATCTGAGCCAAGCTGAGACAAGCAAACACAAGTAACAAATCGGCATGCTAGGGTTGACACCGCAGCGCATCCCGCACTGGCCGCCCTCGCAAACCAAACAGATTCGACACGAACATGAAACGAGCAAGTACATGCCCACTGACATTGAGAAGTTTACAAAGGCAGCTAGTGTTACCGGAATGCCGACCAACGGTTCCGCACCTTAATGTCAGCCACGAGCTTTTGTCATGAATTCGAGACCATCGTTGCTTCCAGCGAAGTCCCTCTCTTGCGCACCTGCTCGCCATCTGTGTGCATATCCGATACCCTAAGGCCCCAAAGTAGTTCCTTTTGGGGGTTCATAAAGGTATCCTACCTGTATAAGTCCGAAAAAGGAACCACTTTGGGGCCTATGGGTATGCAAGAAGTATCCGACCTGGAAATAGGCAACATGCCGCGCGACGAAGCACATCGAAAGCCATTCACGGCCAAGGGATGCGGCACTTGCCTCGGAACTGCGGGACCGTACTGGGTCCATATTCTCCTACTGCCACCATCTGCGGTTGAAACAGCAACTCAGCTTTCCAACACATAAATACCAATCCGCGTGCTGAGCTCCCTGCATCAGTGGTAACGGTGCCACGAGGTGCCCCGCAGCCGATGACAATGAAGCCACTATGGCATCTACATGCGTCTCTGATGTGGCATTGGGTGGTTTGCGAGGGTGCAGAATTCCGAGTTTGTTAAAACTGCCGCGGCGACGGGTCCAGAAAACCAGAGGTTGGTACAACAGATCTGGCTCAGCCGGAGATGCCGGCCGCACACCTACGCAAATTTCAAGCACGCATCAGGCACTACATTTTGCTTGTAACGTTGCGGAAGGCATCGCACACTTGGTCTCAGTTTTTCTTGCTTTGACGGTAAATGGCTGAAGGACATGGTCGCTGTGCGGTGCTGACAACTGCATGACGTCCGGCTCTACTTTCTGTTGGATAGGTCTCACAGCGAGTGTTGGAATACAATATGCTTTGAAACTCCCCGGCTTGCTACTGGGCAGTTCACTAGTACGAGTAGGTTTGCATGGATGAAGCCTTGCAACAGCTGTCTTGCGATGCAACAACTTGCGACGATTAGCTACTGCATTGCTGACCGTCGGCTGCAAGCTATCGCGTCCGTTTTGGGGAACCGACTGCGTGAGCCGTGTGGGATGAACTCGGGCTCAAATTGGGGCACAACTAATGCGGTCCTGGTGCTTTCAATGCTCATTCATCAAACCCTGGCGACTTGTCTCTGCTGCTTTGACTTTGGACTGGGCCAAAGCTTTTCGCAGTACTGCTCCGACGAAACCGTGCAAAGCTTTGGAATCCGTCCAAAGATGTGGCTAAGCGGTTTTGGCAAGCTGCTCCAACCGTGAAAACCAGATGTGAATGATGCTGGTGAACACTAAATCTCAATTGTGGAACTTCGACACTTGCTTCCAGGAAGTGGCAGAAGCATGCCGAGCGCCGCATTAAGAGGGACACTGGTACGAGCAGGTTCTTTGCCGTGGCATTGCTTGGTGCAGCCTACACGAATCCCCACAACCCCACATTCCACCGGCCGTCTCTGTGAACCACCACCCTGCCCGAGCTCGATTTGATCATGCTGTCTTGTCTCCCTGCTGACAGCAATGTATCTCACGCCGGGGCCACCAGTTGCAATGGAAACCGTCAAAGGTCTTTGTGTTCTCCTGCCACGCGACGCGTTGGCAAAATGTCGCTCAAGCACTCACCTTCAGTCTCACTTTTTCATAGTTTGTCCATGCCTGTTTACGACCCGGGGATACCCGCAAGTACGTGGTGGCAGGCTTGTGCCGACTGGACATTGGCCCGATTGGTCGCCATCCTTTTGTAGATGCGCAATAAATAAATGTTGCCACAGCGCGAGCCTCCTGTCCCTTCCTTTCTCCAGCATGGCCAATGTGGATGGGGAGAGGCCGTTCCTCGCGACAGTGTCTCTGCAGCCGCATGCCTCGAAGTCCAAAGACTCATTGCCGTTAGCGCACTCGTCTCTTGCGTTGGGCACATGCACTGAAACCGCATTGTGAAGGCCATGCTCTTGGCTTTTTGGCCCCGAGCCCCGTCGCCCACCTGCACGGATCGCCCAAGCCTTTGCGTTGCACTCGCCGTGCTGGCACCCGCCATCGTCAGGCTTGCGTAACACAGCCCATGCCTGGGAAAACACCATACCCGAGGTGCAGCAATCAAACTAGCCGCCACCTGCCATAAGAACGGTCACAGCTACACGTAAACCAACAGAAACATACTACTCAAGCATGCCAGGACAATACGAAATGAAGCAGCCCCCTCCCCTACGGACAGGACTCTGCCGAAGTCTTTTCAACAAAACTCTTGAGCTGGAAGCGCCCATCGTACGCATTTAAATCTTCTTGCAAGTCCGCAAAATCGGTGAATCCTCTGTGCTTGGAATCGTTTTGATTGCCGCCTGGTATGCATGTGAAGGCCTTGGTACTCGTACCGCAGTTTTTCCTCATCATGAGTTCTGCCAGCACTTCCTCTCAACGGATTAATCCTTTCTCGGCATTACTCCGAACTTGGACTGATGAAATCGCGGTTCTTCCACACCGCAACCAGATTGCCTTTGCCGATGCTTTAGTGTGTGACTGCCAGACATTGCTGGCCCTGCGTCTTCAGGGAAGCCTCGACATACTTTCGTCTTTGCGCAGTAAGTTTTGGGATCTGATTCGGATTTCTTGCTCATTTCTGAAGCGAGAAATCCTTTACCGTGCTCAAGAATTCCTGCCCAAGCACCGCTTTGAACACAGCCGCGTGACCATTATTGCACCGTTCACTGGTGGAGTAAGCCTCCGAAGCAACAACGATTGCAATATTCAGCCTGCCAGTTCTTCTCCGTTTTTCTCCTTCCGGTGCCTTAATCCAAGGAATTCGGGGTTCTCAAGGCTGTTTTCTAAAAAGCTCTTTTGGTGGAAGCTTCTCGACTGTGCAAGCCTTTGCCGCGAGCTCAACATCAAGCTTCTGGTGCTACCAGGCCCTCGTATGCCTGCAGGACTCCTGCAGGATTCCAGTTGCCCCCTGGTTCATTACCCTTTTTTTGTATGTCGGTGCCAGAAATTATTTTTTTTGTTTTTGGCGGACCTTTTTCCGGCAGCCCAAAGTCCCAAAAGGAAGTGCCTACCTGGCCCTACGGAGGCGCACGCACCAAAGCACTAGCGAGGCCCCTGGCGGCTGCCAACAGGCGGAGGCTGCCACCGCACGTCGGCGAGGACTTCGTGCAGATCCGGCGGCTCCCCGGCAACGCTGCACTCGCCCGCGAGGGGGAGCTCCAACAGGGAAGCTGCGACGGCCCGCTGTGCTGCGACTGCGAGGAGCCCCGACCAACGGGCAACTCACGCCGTTCGCGCGGCCGCCCGCATATTGGCCTGCACGTCGGAGGCACGCTGCCCGGCGAGCAACCGGAGCCAGGTGGCCGCTTCTGCGCCAAACCGGCCCCCAACCTCGACACCAACTACCACCAAGCGGCAGCGACGAGCGCGCACAAGCTCGGGGTAGGTCTGGTGACGTTTGCGTCGGGCGGCTGCATCGACCGCTCGCCCGGGGTGCACGTCTGCTCCAGGCTGCGCCGCACCCGCCCGCGTCACAGGGCTGACGATGGTGGCATCGACAGCCTGTGGCGCTCCGTGCCGCAACGACAACCCGTTCGCGACAACTTCGATGCGGCGGTCATCCAAGACCGGAACATCGAGGTTCATGTCTGCGAGGCGAACGTTGCGGGCGACCCGCGCGCCAGCTTCGTGGCACACTCTCGCAACCGCCCGCTCGAGAGGAAAGGCGCGAGACGCGAGCACGCCGGCATTCGCACATGCAGCCTTGTGGTCACCGAGCGGGTCCAGGCGACCGCGGCATGCAGGTCCCCGAGAGCAGGCAGGCCAGTAAGCAGTTGGTCCTGGGTCTCCTGTTTGCGGCGCAGCTCCTTTGCACGAAGGCTTCACTCCCCAGCGGTGCACCCAGCACCAGCAGTCCGTGCTGGTCCGCTGGCAAGGACCAAGCACCCGTCCAGACTGGCTCTGCACCCGTGGGCTGGAGACGGGCGAGGCCGGCAGGCCCTTCACCTGCAGCGTTCCATACGCAAGTTTTGCCTTGGTTCAGGCGTATGCGGGCATGGTGCCACAGCGCGTCCTCCAGGGCGCCGTGCAGCGCTCCCGTGCGCTGCGGTGCTGACACAACATAGATGTCATCCAAAAACGCGAAGATGGCCTCACCCTCCTGTGGTCCAGCCGCTGCCTCACTCAAAGCGGCATGCTGCGCCAGGGAGAGAAGCGCCGGCATGAGCGGATCCCCTTGCTCGCCTCCGTCACCTTGCATTACCTCATGTTCGGTGCCGGTGTCGTCGAGCCAGGTGTAGACACTGGCACTGCCATAGAACTGCCGGGCAAAGGGAAGGAGCGGGGCGAGGGCCGGGCGGGACCGGAG